CCAGGCCTCTGGAGAACTTCAAGAGATGTTGAGGAGGTAATGTAGCAATTTGAATCAGGTGTGTTGGCTCAAGGACACATCTAAAACCTGCAGGACACCGCCCCACCACCCCTGTTGTAGAGCTTTATGAAGAAGTATTCAGATTTTATGGCAAAATCACATCTAAGAACTTTTTTATTCAAGTGTATATTTTGATTGGTACTGATACTGCAGAAACTGGAATTTTGTAACATTATTTTTAATTTCATGTCAAAATTTAAGAACTCTTACAAATATTATGTGAGATATAAGTGCTGGAACAAAAAACATTTTTACTATAATCCCCGGACTCCCTTACATTATGCTCGCTAAATAATGTTTTATGGAAGTTTGTTGCAAAACGTATTAAGGTAAATTAGTTTAGTCTTTTTCCCAGGTTGCATATAAATACCAGGCTGTTTAGTCTAGGCAAAACTGGTCAGTTTGCAGTATTTTGATAATGTTTAAAATGATGTACCATGCTGAACTGGTTACACCTAGGGTACTGTTACTAGGTTACATCAAGGGCAGCAGACAGCAGCTCATATATAAGATGATGATACAGATTAGTTTCAGTCACTGAGTTCTACCTTTTATGCTAGCTTTATAGTGAGTAGGGGTTGGAAATCAGCTATGCTGTTTGGGTAGCATCTGCTTATATCTTACTGAATTCAGCTGGCTAAATCCATAAAGAGCAGTGAATATCAGAAGAGGAGCACAGATCACCTGATCAGAATCTCTATGCAAAGAAAACTAAAACAGATTATTATGTGCCTTATTTATAAGTAATTCTGCACCATGAATACGTCATAGGTCATCATTCTTTTATTACTCTCTTTTTTAAAAAATGGATGTACAATGAACAGCAATTTACTACAAAACAACACATCTCTGTAAGTTCATGTTCTGCTACTTCGACAGGAGTTTGTGAACATACTCCTACTCGCTTACAGTCACTTTTATTTCACTTGTGGATGAAGCATTTTTGTCATCGACTTCAGTGAAACATAACCTCAAGTTCCCTGCTCTGTGTGTGTGTGTGTGTGTGTGTGTGTGTGTGTGTGTGTGTGTGTGTGTGTGTGTGTGTGTGTGTGTGACCTCAGCAGAATAGCGAGTCAGAAAAGAAAAATCACTATTCTGAACCAAGCTTTAAATGCAGCACCCACAGCACAGCCATACTGTGCATAATCAGACATAATTACTGGCTAACCTTCCATTATCAGCACAGCAACGATAATTTTAAGTCCTTACTTACAGTGATAAATTAGCAGTCAGTACATGTGTGTATTTATGTGTGTTTGGTGTTTATAGAGCCCAAGCCTACATTAGGCATAGGCCCAAGATGCTTTTTCTCCTGTGATGTCTTTTTTGTGCTGTAGAAAGAGGATTGTGAGCACATTGTTATTGAATACAGGCAGTTCCTTTGTTCATGCAGTCATAAGTTTTTCCTAATGCTTAACTACTTTTACTCTGCAGTTATACAAGAGCTAGAAGGAACATCCCTTTAATTATGTGTTTAAAGTAGTCTGCCCAAGGTTTTATGGGGCCTTAGAATTTTGATTTGCGTCCCTATCGCCCACCACTCACCTCAGCACCACCAGTATTAACTATAGATTGTCCATGGTTTATTGTTTATGCATTGTACAAGAAATACAATCATTATCATGGCGTGTGTGTGTGCTGAAAAGAGATCAAATAAACCAGCAGAGAGTGCATTTACAAAACAAGTTATCTATTTTAATTGGTTTTGAAATGTGGTAATGTGCAAAGGGACACAAAAATCACGCAGTTTTATAAAGACCCAGATTTATTTTCTTATAATGTAAGAACAGAAAATATTTTATAAATTAAATCTAAACTTAAATAAGACATAATTGAAATACAAAATATTCATTAAGAAGATTCTATTTGATTTTTGTTTTTATTTACAGAGAACAATTGGCCTAAGATTTTAAAAAAAAAACCTACCTGCCCTGTCATATTAGAAGCTAATGTGTCTGTCAACAGCAAAATTCCCTCACAGGTTTGTACATGCTGACCTGGGGGAAATGATGCTTTGTCAAAAAGTCACACATCAGCTGAAGAAGCACTTTGTGAAGCGTCATGAGCTGATGTTATTGCCGGCGTTGTTGTGTTCTAAAATATATCCACTGGGGAAATATTGCTGGGGAATCAGTTGATGAATGAGAATGAGCTTGTAGCAAATTCAGATATCTCAGAGAAATAATATGTAAAACAACAACGCTGAAAGCGGGTCTAATTAAATAAAACAACTACCTAATTGAGGTGTAACAATGTCGGAATATAACCACAAAGACCCAAAAATGATTATGTGCGTTATGTACGGCTGTTATCAGAGTCAAGTCTGTGAATAGTAGGTCTGTTTCATAATGAGACAAAGTTGCTGGGACATGTTCAGGATCCAGCGATTGAGCCTAGACCCTTAGTTCAGAAAATCGTGGTTACATTTCATTACAGAAAAAGTAATTCGATAGTTATTTTACACAGAAGAAAATCTTTAACACAAATGAATGTGTGTTAGGTTTATGCCTTGGCTGCCCTAAAATAATAGCACTGATAATTACCAAAATACATTTATTTTTTATTTGTGTGTGTGTGTTGGTTCATCCACTAGTGTATGCAAGCTCTTTAACTGAAATTGTGTTTTTAGTGTTAAAATATAATTATTGTTGTTATCCACAAAATTTCAAATTAACAGTTTTATGAAAAAAGCTTAGAAAATAATAAGGTACAATATTATTGTTTCATTAAGATGCCAAATTACAGTTACTTGCATTTCTAAAAAGAAAAGTTGAAGAACCTGAAGAAAAGTAGTGGATGAACATTATGCTTTATCAGTTTCTGACTGCTCAAATTTAGGCATAAAAATGTGAATTCAGTTTTTTATTGGCCTGATAAATAACAGTACAACTTTTAGTATGAAACAGGTTTTAGACAATTAAAAATATATATTTGTGTTTTCTTGTTTTTATGACACTATACCTTCTTTTTGGTTTCAAATTTCAAGTTACTGATACTGTGAACAAAAACAACAACAACAAAAAGTCTGTGTTTGAAAGCAGTACTTGATACTAGTACTGGGTTGTTGGCTAGATGGGTGCCATCTGTGATAACCACTGACTTAAATGTGAGACTATGAGGTCTAACTTTGACTTAAATTCAAACTTGGCCTCTCTATTGTATAAAAATAAGACAATACACACACACACAAACACAAACACACACACACACACACACGTGAATTGAGAGGATTGTGAAGTCTCTTGAGGAGGCACTGTTAATCCTGTTGACAATGGCTTGTCTGAACAGTAGCTTGAAGAGAGATGAGGCTAATTCTCTTTATGAAGGCAGTAACCCCACAGGTCACCAAAGCCAAACACGTAACCATTTAGACACACAATAGAAACACGTCTGTTTCTTCTTCCTGGAGTTTAGCCTCTAGTCCCACCAAAAAAAAAAAATGTAATAATACAGTATATCACACCTCTCAATGCAATTGTGCTGCATCAAAAGTCTGCTTCAATTCCCTTCTGTAAAAAATGGGGCTCGGGAGATTTCATTGTCTCTAAAGAAATTTGACAAAATGATATTGACAATGCGGCTTATTTTCCCAGAATAAAGAGGGAAACGTAATATTGTTTCATTCTCTCTTGCTGTTATTGTGATATATTGCCAGCCACCGAAATATTTACACCTATCTCTCTGCCTAGTTACTGTCCCATGCCAGAATACATTATCCGTGGAAAAGAAAACAATATTACATTTCTTATTGAAAAGCAGCGATCCTTCACCTTTTATCCACTCATTAAAAATCACACATACACGAACCCACACACACGAACGGGCACATACAAACACAGAGAGGTGTTTGTGTGTCCGCAGATGTGGTTTTGAAGTACCGACACTCACTCCAACAATTACACGCAGTGGTTTGTGCATAGAAAAGATAAATGTATGCAACGGCGCTGAAGCTGTTTTAATAGATCTGTAAAAGCACAGGTGTGATGTGTGTCTAAGTGTGCCTTCCGGTCTCAAAGGCATTTACCATCCAGCTGCATAAAACATGTTGAGCAAATGAGTTATATTCACCGTGCAGCTGCCAATTGTCACTATAATTCACATGGATGCAAAAAAAGAGCCTCAAACAGTTAAAATTTTGAACAATCAATCATCTGTAACTCTAGCAGCACAACTTTATCGCCTTTAGAAAAAGATGTTTTCATCTGTTTTGTGCACTTCTCTGTGAGGGTCACATTGACATGTTCTCCATTTCGGAAATAACCTATAGGCTTCTTTTCTGGATGTTTGTCTTCTATCCCCAGATGGGACACCCTACACGTGGTGGGTTGGCAGAGGGAACGAGAAACACTTCTACTGGGGTGGATCGGGGCCTGGCATCCAGAAATGTGCCTGTGGCATCGACAGGAACTGCACCGACCCCAAGTACGACTGCAACTGTGATGCTGATGTCAAACAATGGTGAGTCAGACTTTAAAGTTCACTGTTTCAGTTTCACAATTAGAGAGCCATTTCTCAGTAGTTTTCAAGCTACTAAGTAGCTCTTTTTTTGTATTACATGAATACTACATGCATCATGGGAAAGCCTTTTTCATGCATTATGCATTAGCTTTTATCCATCAAGCTTCTTGGAGACCATCTTGTGCAGCTAAAGTCTTCATTTTTACCCACTGCAAACTACTTTAATCTTTTTAATAACCAGGATACTACTTTTATGATAATAAGCTGAATGCATGTGTCGTAGAGTGGAAAGCTAACGCTACAGTTACTAATGAGTGGAGAATTCAGTGGTGACTTTTTTTTGCCAACCTAGATAAAAATGATTCTGTCACTTGTTATCACTAGACTTTAGCTATAAAAACAAGGAAGTTTCACAGGGTTATGTACGTACATACATACCACGCTCACTGGCACTTCAGTAAGGAAGAGGAGTGTTTGTTATTCCATTAACTCACCCACAGATTTTCTCGCCAGGGCAGATGAATTCCTCAGACATACCTCAGACATTTAACTGCTTCTAAAATAATTGCAGTTTATATGAAATTGTAAAGGTCAGTTTGTCTATTAACTGCTTGTTATGTTTAATAAGTGCATGTTTGGTAGTAGAGAAGTTCATTTTGGTAGACATTCACAAGGCTTCCTACAAACAATCTCTTACCTGACAGACCGTCGATTCTTTTTATTTTTCTTACCGCATAAGCTGAACCCAAAAATGAAAAACCCACGGATTATTTACATTTTTATTTATTTATTACATTTTTGATAGCACTAAATCCGTCACTTATGCTAATGTAGCGATTGCATTAAGCTGACAGTGCAGAATCCGCCTTAACTGGACAGTGTGGCGATGTGTCAAACTTCAAAGGCTGAAGTGACTGAATGATGAATGCATTCATCATTCAGTCACTATCAGTGATGTGTTTATTTAAGAGGCGTGCTTACATCCAGAACCAACAGTTTGCATTTTAAAGCTCTTTTAGCCAGCTGATGGATATTCTCATTAAAAGCTGTTGCATCGCTGTTTGTGAGTGTGTGTATGCATGTGCCTCCTCTTTGAGAGTAATTACTGAGCATTAGCAAGAAGAAGAGATTTAATTTGCTTTCATGTCTCCCTCCTCATCTCGAAAACTGATGAGATTACAAATAAATTTTACAGTGCCTTGTTCTCTCTGTTAATATTGTACACATCAGTGTCTTATTGTTTGTCTAAGTTAGCTTTGAAATTTTACCAACTGTTAGCACTCATTACCCATACTTTTGGCAGCACATAGAAATGTGCAAGTGTCTATCCACACATGCTTACTCAGATGCACACGTCCCTGCACACTGTCTTTAATTAGAGTTCTCATTAGAGTTCCAGAATGCATTGGTCAGCACAGAAATTAAATTAAAATATGGTATCAAAGACAGACGGAACACATGAAAACATAATCCCTGCAGCCACTTCTGTTTGCTGGCGAGGAAGCATTACAAAAAAAACCCTCTAATATTGTACAGGAAGTCTACAGTGTTGTCTGACATGTAGGTGTGCACATTTTCACATCAATAAACACACAAGGGCATAAGCAGAGTCTTAGAGGAAAAAAAGCAAACAGCTCAGAAGCCTGAAGAAGAGAAAGGCTGGGTTGGCTGGGTTGCAGTTTGCAAAAACACTCAGAAAAAACTGAACAGACTTCCATGAAGGAAAGATTATCCTCTATCAAAGCAATTGAAAGAGAATATGTGGTGAAAACAGCAAAACCTAAGGGGCATTAAGGGCATTAATGGAACTAGGGCACTTGAATTTGTTGATAATTTTACTATAGCAACAGGGTGAATACAGATACAGACATGCTCAGTTTCAGCAACTAAGTCCTGAGGTGACATGACCTTATTGTGACTGAGCAGACTGGCTAAAGACAAGAAGAAAGAGCTGAAGGTGTCTGCAGACGTTCCTCAAAGAGGATCACCTGACTAGATCTAAAGACATCTATCGATGTCTAAAGGGTGAATCTTGAAATTGATCTGTGTTAAACACGGCACACCTGTGCAGTTGTTACTACACTGATATAAACCTACTCAAATTAAAAGTGAGACTTGATTCATTAGAGGTAATCGGATCAGACCTTAAATGGTGTTTAACCTGCTAGCTATCTAACACAGAGCCTGTGTGATGTCTCATTGCACCGACGTGAAAATAGAGCAGGTAATTCTCTGGTGAATTCACACTGTGTGAGTGAACTCCTTGTATGCAGCCTCCCTTACGCTCCCTTGTCTAAACCACATAACATGTACTGAGGTGTGAACATATCTGAAAGTGACTATTTCATGTGTGCTACATGTAAAAAAGACCAAAGTGACAGTATTGATACTGTTTGGAAGTTTACTAATAGGCTCAGTTAAAAGTATCCTTTAAGTAGTAACCAGTACTACAGCTGGTACAGCATCTAACAGCATAAACAAAAGAAAATCTTCATGCCTGTGGATAACACCTCCCCCAACTATAGACTTACAAATGCCCACTCATGTTGTCCTACCCACACAGCAGACAGGTCTGGCCTGGATCTGGTGTCAAGCCGACCACTGCTGGCTGACTTCTGGCATGGTAAGTGGTATGTCATCCAGATATGGGCCAGGTCTGGAGTAGATGGCACTGTTTATGTGATGGCATGCCACATCTGGCCCGATTGTGGTTTGGTTTATGTGGCCCAGGCTCATAGAAAATAGGTCTTCCCCATATCCGGCATCAAGCTGGTACTTCTGACTGACTGGTGTCATGGCAGAGTGTATGTCAACCAAATGTGGGCCAGGTCTGGCAATGATGACACTATTTATGTTCCTGTTTTCCTGTTAGATAGAAGACCCAAATGCCATGTTGCAATACTATACTGCTATGGTAGTCAACATTTCTTATCCAGGTTTGTGAATGTACACTTTATCCAAAACCTAATGACGGTTTACTGACGTTTGCCAGTGGGTGGTGGTAGCTCAGGAGGCAGAGCAGATGACCTACTGATCGGAAAGTTAGTGGTTCAACCCCTGGCTCCTCCAGTCTGCATGTCAAGAGTAAGAATGTGGTTAGGAAGCACTCTGTTTAGAGAAAGTGTGTGATTCAGTGAATGTGGCATGCTGTACTCAAGAGCACTTTGAGTAATCTGGGAGAGTAGAAAAGCACTATATAAGAATCAGTCCATTCACTGTCCGAAAAGTTTCATCATGTTACTTTCGCACTATTATGTTCTGGCACATGTTGTTATTACATGACTTGATTAAGGTACATATTAGGCTGACATCTGGGGCCAGAGCTGAAACTGTTCTGGGCCAGCACAGGACCACCAGTATGTCCGCAATTGGCCTTGTGCTGGCCCATGTGTGGGCCACCTCTGGCAAACCAGGTCTGGGCCACCAAAGGGCCATCATTCTTTGTGGTTCTTTGGGCCATTGTGTGGGCCACATCTGGGCCATACCAATTTTGCCATGTGGATACATGTATGAATACTCCTATGTATATAAACAACTGCAATACCTTTGTGAGATTATTATGTACTTTATACAATTTACCCTATCTGATGTTTTTCTGAATCGATTTCTTTTTATATTTAGCTTTCCCTTCTTCATTTCATACTCAAAATCACTTACCTGAGATGTGTCACCTCAACGCTAAGGAATTTTTTATGGAAAATCATATTGACACATTTGTGAATAGTGTCTGGCAGATATTTCCGCAGTTATTTCATTGTTTGTTTGTTTTTATTGTGCTCTTAATAAACTCTAAATTGAACTGAATAGAAAAATGTTTCTTTCACAGCAAAAGATATAGTAAGGTGAAAAGACCATAATTCCTTAACCTCTATGATTCTTTCCCAAATCATCCTATAGGAGAGAAGATTCTGGTCTCCTGGTCTATCAAGAACACCTGCCAGTCAGCCAGGTCGTGGTGGGCGACACCAACAGGTCAGGCTCTGAGGCCAAGCTAACTGTTGGACCACTTCGTTGTCAAGGAGACAGTAAGTGTTGTGTCATTTAAAATACAATTAATGTACTTTGGTGTGGAGCACGTGGATGGCGCCAAAACAGCTGGCTTTACTCATGTGAGTGACAGACAGCTGGAAAACGATTCCAACATCACGAATGAGTATTTACTTGGTCCAAAAATCAAAGTCATAACTGCTGACATAAAAGTGGTTGAATGGACTGTGTGTGCGAGGCACTGGGGGGCTTCAAGGTGTTGAAAGTTCAGTTAATGAGTACAGATAAGCAGATACACCGAAAATTAATTGGAAATAAGTAAATAATTTTTTCTCCCCATAAACTACATTTATAGGGGTAAAAAAAGAAAATTAATTTTCCCAATAATTGATAAAGGAAATAATTATTACAGCTCTTATCCAACATATGGCAGCCAACAAGTGGTGTTAGTCAACTTTTTATTTAGTTTAATATTTGTTACTGATTTATATTGAAGAAGGCTGCGCTATTATATTCAGAAAACAGCGTGATTAAGTTTTTAGCAGCAATGTAGGTAATTTCAGGCTAATCCACAGTATTTTGGAACAGACAGCAGGGCTCCGTAGAGAGGCACAGAGGTGTACTCTGATTAAAGAGAAACTAAAAGGTCAATAGAGTATCCAGGAGCTAAATCACACGGTGTGAGTCATCTGTATGGTTGTAAAATGAACTTTAAACTCAAGAGGAGCCTACACAGGATGGGGAAAGCAGGCGTGAGCTTTTTGGATTCATCGCAGGGTTAAAATGGGCCTTTGAGTGAAGCACAAGGACGGCTGTTGCAGCAGACTAAATGAAAAAGAAATATGAGCAATAATGACCATCTCCAGGTCGACTGCGGAAAGGAAGAGATTTTTTTTTCTCAAAAATTCACAGCTGGTTGCTGAAGAATGGCTGCATAACATTTGTGAAGGGCTCACGAAAGGTTGAATCAATTCCTCTTTTGACACTGTATGTAACTTATGAAGAGTTTGTGTGCTTGTTTCTTTATTTGATGTTAAGCAGTATGACATTTTTAGATAGACAGTTAATCATACTCCAGCAGAACTTACACTGGAATAGATACATATTCAAATTATAGAGATCCCATTGTGCTTACAACAAATGCCACCAGGCTGTACATGATATTAGCAGATGAAGATTTTCTAATGAAAGATACAGATTGCACTGTTATGTCAGGTGAACCGTAATAGAAACGTCAACACAGGGATAAAGCGGGTAGTGCCGATATTGCCTGGTGAATGGGACGAAACAACCCAAAACAAATAAGATCGCTTGTCCTTGTCTTTTCCGCTGAATCGGCCTGAAACCAGATTGAAACATTTAAATTCAAACAAGTATGAATGAATTAGCTTTCAAAGAATTGCATTTTCCTGTAGCAACTTGTGAAGTGGCAGGTGATTGACACAATTTGGAGCAACATTTTTAAGGTATGCCCTGTGGCCTACAGCCTTTCTCAATCCCGCCTTTGTTGTGGCAATTTCTGTAATAGGTGGAAATGACTCATAAAAAGCCAGCCAGTGGCAGCCGCCGTCATCACTGTTGATGTATTCACTTACGTTATGAAAGAGAGGAAAAGTGAAAGGTTTGTGTAGTAGTAGCGAGCAAAGTGCCAGGAAACTTAGATTGATAGCTGGCTACCTTTATACACTCACGGTTAAATTACTACCTGAATTGGCTATTTTAAGTGGCAGGTGCAATGTGTGCAATTCACTGGAGCTGCAGTTCAGCACAACAGCTATATTTGTTTAAGGCTGATAGGACCTGAAAGAAACTCGAGGGGTCAGTAATGGGTTTATACAGTCACCTAAAAGCAAGCAAAAAAAAAAAAGTGACAGTGTGGTGCAGTCACACAGTATATAGGGAGCTTTATTTAACCATAACAAATTAAACGAATGGTAACTCACACAAACATCAAAAATCAGTATGACAGGAAGGGCACTTTGTTCATCACTATCTTTGGCTTCCTCATGTGGAAGAAATATTTGCCATTTCTTCATCCTGAACCCCAGTGGAAATTAAGCATTATCAGTGTGTCTTTGACTGTTCAATACATCCATTGTCAGTCAAACTTTTGCAAAGTACCAAACCCTTTTTGACTGTTTGCTGCTGATGGTTTGAATAAGGTCTTAATTAAAAACTATCTTCAGAGAGAGCAAGAGAAAACACTTCATGCATAGCAGAGTACAATTGAGCACATTGTCATTCTGGGTTTGCACTTGAGTCTGAAAATAGCACATTGCTTATTCTCGCAGTGTGCAAATCATTCACAGAACCTGTTGTTTTATCTTGATTGTCTTTCTATTTTGGAATCTTTCTTTATCTGCCTCTGCATATGTGTGTTTTTGTGCGTGAACGCACTCGCATTTTGTGCTAATGTCTATGTGTGTGGTGAGATAAATGCATCTGAACTCCGTTCAAAGCTTTTTCATCTAAGCACTCATCCTTTTATTCCCTTCAGTCAACTCCCGGTAGTTTAGGTTGTTGCTCAGGTAAACATCAGGTGTCAGATCTAGCAGAACACTCACACCTACACACAAACACACAAACTGAGAGGCACTTTAATCCTTGCTGTTTCTCTTCCTGTCTGTGCTTCTAATCAGTGTTGGCGCACTGCTCTCATTGGGACTTTGGGTCAGTTGGAAGATACACACATATTGTGCAGAACTATGATATTGACCACTTCCCGTTTCATGCAACCTGGGCCAGTTCACTTTGTCCGCATCTTACCTGCGATATGTGACTCCTGTAGTGTGTACCGAGTTTCTGTCAGATCAGCACGGATCAACTGCGCGGTATAGCTGTGATGCAGCTGTTTACTCTGTAAATTCAGAGGTTCTGTAACACAGTGGGCTTCAAGATAAACTTAGAAAAGTTAAATGGATAATGGAAATGGTATTCTAATGGTGTAAGCTTTCACTACATTAAGGCTTAGCTGTCATTATGAGAGGATATTCAGTGGCTTTAGCCACCATGATCCCTGCGAGCCAGCAGGCTCTTCTTGTCAGCTTGTTGAGATCTGCCACTGCCTTATTTCACAAACGCACATCTGATGTATTTTTATATTTATGGTGTGACCGGTTTGTGATACTGGCCTAAATAAAATGCTAAATAAATTTGATTCAAACCATCATACTGTAATATGATACTGATTTTTATTTGCATTATTCACATTTTTGGGAGCTATGTACCTTTGTTCTGAGATTCCCCCAGGCTTCCATGTGCATAGCTGTGTGTTAGGCATCAAGACCCAAACACAAGTAGAGCACTTGACTTTGATAAGGCTGGGTACTTCATGAAAGGAAAAGTGGTTCCAAAGCAGCTTGCAAGAGCAGCAGCACCTGTTGACAGGTTAAAGCAACTTTAAAAGTATATCCTACAATCTGTCACATGTGTACCACTAAAACAGCCCCATGTACAACCTTTTTGGATGAACCCAAGGAGTAATTTTGTTTGCTTAATATGGCCCAGGTCTGTATTGTGACCTGAACATGAAGCAGAAAACTGTAAAAAGCAAGCGCATCTTTTTTTCTTTAACGCAGAACAAATGAACCAATATACGAGTTTAAAGGCAACCTTAATTTCATTCCACTTTTCTAAATGTATTATCCACTGAGCAATTCAAAACAGAATGAACTCCTCAATTATGTCTGTGAAGGTTCTCAGTCATCCAGGTAATCGTAGTCAAAGGAGATTGCAAAGAAAAACGTCTGGACTTCTTTAAGTTGCTTGAAGACGTTTCGCCTCTCATCCGAGAAGCTTCTTCAGTTCTAAGGTCAAATGGTGGGGAGTCCCAGATTTAAACCTAGTGGGAGTATCCCCCCACAGAGGGACAAAAGGACCCACTGATGATCCTCTAATCGCCTGAGCCAAGATGTGAAAATGGGTGTGGGTCCCAATCAGCCAGGGTTTCGGGTGAGCTCATTGTGAAACCTGGCCCCACCTTATCATGCTACATAGAGAATGACAATGGCAGACACAACAACATTGTCATCCCCTATGTAGCCGATGTATCAGAAAAATTCAGGAGAGTTTTCTCCAAGCACGACATCCCAGTGTATTTCAGACCCAGCAACACGCTCAGACAAAAACTGGTTCACCCGAAAGACAAAACTCCAAAACACAAACTTAACAATGTGGTGTATGCTGTACAGTGCAGCGAGGAATGCCCAGACCTCTACATTGGAGAGACCAAACAGCCACTTCACAAGCGCATGGCACAACATAGAAGAGCCACCTCCACAGGACAAGACTCAGCAGTCCATCTGCATCTTAAGGATAAAGGACACTCTTTCCAGGATGCCAATGTTCACATTTTGGACAGAGAGGACAGATGGTTTGAAAGAGGAGTGAAAGAAGCCATCTATGTCCACTGTGAGCGACCATCTTTGAACAGAGGCGGTGGTTTACGACACCAACTGTCTGCCATCTATAATCCAGTTTTGAGATCCCTCCCCAGACGCCTTAACACCCACTCACATCCTGGGCCATCTGATCTCAGGAATTCGCATGATAAGGAGGGGCCAGGTTTCACAATGAGCTCACCCGAAACCCTGGCTGATTGGGACCCACACCCAGTTTCACACCTTGGCTCAGGCGATTAGAGGATCATCAGGGGTCCTTTTGTCCCTCTGTGGGGGGAAACTCCCACGGGGTTTAAATCTGGGACTCTCCACCATTTGACCTTAGAACTGAAGAAGACTCTCGGATGAGAGGTGAAACCTTTTCAAGCAACTTAAAGAAGTCCAGACGCTTTTCTTTGCAATCTCCTCCTCAATTATGTTATGTCTGAGAGATTGCTTCTGTCACTTCCAACTTCCCTTTTTTTTTTCTGTCGCCTAAGGAAAAATACATTAACATACTAAGAAAGGAAACTAATATTGGTATCTGTGCTGTAATGTAACAAAGCACCAAAGTGGTTTTGGGGCAAATAATATCCTTTAGAGAGGAAAAGTAAAAATGGATTTAATCTATAGTGCAAGACGGCATGATCATTGCACTA